AAACAGTCCGTGGTCAGCACAAATTCGGAACAGGCGTTCTCCGTTGTCAGTCCTGTTGGCTGGGATTGCATGCGAACCGCCAAGTAACCTCTCTGATTCGTTCAGGAATCTCACTTAAGCATTGAGGTTTCCAGCGACTACCACAATGTCCGTTGACCGAGCGCTTTGAAGCAGTAAACAGAGGTCCTTGGAGAATTCATCCTTCATTTCTGGTGAACTGAAATCTGTCGATGCATACGCGGATACGACGAATAAGCATCGGCGCTTCGTTCTGAAGCTGTTGACGCGTACTGAACCATCCAGAAATACGGCGCAAAGTCGGCTGTTAACCGGGATCCATTCGAGAATTTAACGCTCGGCCTTGACACTTAGCGCAATCCCAACGCCANACGGAGAGTGAAGCTTGAGGATGAGGCCGGATGTGGAGAACGGAGGGAGATGATTGAAGTAGGATCTTGTATGCGTGTTTCGGAGACACAGCATACATCTAAATGGAAGGTTTCACGGGTTCTGGCTAAGGCGGCTTGTTGACCGATCTGGTAGGGTGTGCGGACATTGAGTGCGGCTAAGTGAAAAGGATATTTTGGTTTCAAAATTCTGATAGCCTCTGATTGGTTGACCTTATTATTTGAACGCTGAGTGATATGCGATGGGTCTTGTAAGCAGGGGGCACCTGGGAATACTCGGGATTGAGAAGGACTAGACAGATGGGAAAGATGGTTTTCCAAATGGGTACTTTAGGACTTTAGGGCACATCATACTTCGCAGTAGCCCAAACGGACATACATACATACGTACATACATACACACATACATACATACATACATACATACATACATACATACATGAGAGAAAACCGATAAAAGCAACAAGCTCGCATTGATGGGATATGCTATATCGTCTAAATACAGAACGAGAAACGGTCTGATCAGCTGCTCGGTGGCCGAGTAAGTGGCACGCTTGCGTTCTGCTCACGAGGTCCCGAGTTCGATCCCCAGTTCGGTCGATTGAGACACACTGCTGATGAGGCCTATTCGGGTCGAAACAGTTGTCCAGTGCTTCCCAGACCTTCAGCTCACGCCTGATTTACACTAGGAATTCATCATGTAAATAAGTAGAATCGTTTACGTTTTGCAATAATGGTTGGATTATAAAACTCTAGAGATTTGCGTTATTGTGAATATATTCAAAATGGTTTTGACGTTTTCCACACCAAA